ACGCTTGGAAATTTACGGTAGCCGTTCCGATCCTGCAAACTATCGTCCAGTGACTCTCCTCCCTGTGCTCGCGAAGGTGATGGAAGCAGTCGTCGTTGACACTTTAATGGACTACCTAAAAAATGCAACATTTGGTACCGGAACAGCATGGCTTCCGTCAACACCGGTCATGCACCACCAACCTACTTATTGCACGAGGTAGTTGGACGGAGGTGTCCGATGATGGGGTCGGAGTCGACGTCATCTATCTGGACTTCTCCAAAGCTTTCGACCGCCTTGATCACCGCATCCTACTTCAAAGACTACGAAGTTACGGAATCGGTGATCCTGTACTTGGTTGGATTGGCAACTTCCTTTACCAACGAAAGCTTCAAGTACGTGTTAGGGGATCACATTCTAACACAATTGAGGTGGAATGTGGTGTTCCGTAAGGCTCAGTGCTGGGACCGCGTTTATTCCTGGTGTTTAGCAGCAACCTGGCAAGAGTCATCTCCTCAAACTTCCTGCTTTTCTCCGATGACGTCAAGATATGGCGGGTGATTTGTAACAAGTCCGATCAGGATCTGCTCCAACATGAATTAAATCGCATTTACGAATGGTCAAAGAGGAACAAGCTTCAATTGAACATAGCTAAGTGCAAAGTGATGCATCTGCGTCATTAGCCGCTTAGCGCTTACACGATTGGAGACCACATCTTGGCGAAGGTTTCTCAGGAGCGTGACCTGGGTGTATTGGTGCAGGAAGATCTCGGGTGTTCAAAACAAGCAGAGAAGGTGACGAGAACCGGCAATCAACACTTCGGCCTTCTTCGCAGAGCCTTCAGTCGGTTTGAACCATCAATATTTCCCCAAATGCTTAACGCCTACGTTCGACCTCACGTGGAATATGCCATTCAGGTGTGGCAGCCGTGGCAGAAACAGGATCTCGTTGCTCTCGAGACCCCTCAACGACGGGCAACCAAGAATGTCAGGGGCCTATTTCACTTGCCCTATCAGCTTAGACTGAAATCTCCAAGAATCTACAGCAGTCGATATCGGCTTTTGCTGGGGGATCTCATAATGGTTTACCAGATTCTGAAGAACCCAAACCACATTTGTCGTCCGCTGCTGGGTTTGAACCACAACACTAAACTAAGAGGTCACTCTCTGAAACTGACAATTCATTATAGCCGGCTTGAATGCCGTAGAAATTTCTTTTCTCTCCGCGTGTGTGAGCCTTGGAACGCCCTCCCTAATTATGTCGTCTCTGCTCCCAATTTGGCGATATTTAAAAAAACGTGTTGACGATGCATTGTCTCACTTACATTTCCTTTTATGACATGTTAGCCAGGGGCTACAAAACGCAATCAAAAGGTGTCTTGCCAAACGCCTAACCAATGGATTTATAGATTTATATGTTTAATACGCGAACATCTCCGCTATTCAACATAAGTCTATTGTGAGTCCACCACAACGCTTTTCCCTTTATCATGCAATTGATTTTCACAATAATTTTCCATCCTACGGGACTTGTTAAGCAACGCTTTTTTACCCGTAATAAACCATTGTTCCATTGATTGCTGATTAATCTATTCAGCGGGAGCATTCGTTTGCCACTCATACCGGATAAATATATGGTTAGAAATCAGCATAAAGTATGTTCAGCATTTGCTTCAAGGTAGTACAGAATGTAAGGCCTCATTTTTAAAACACTCCTGGATAGCAACAAGCCTCGGATTACATACTCAACTGACCTAGACCGGAGCAGCGAAGCGATGTCTCTGGTGGCTTCATTAGTATAAGGTAGACCAGGATTAGGTCACTTCTTTGACGACTATGTTCACGCCTGTCCATCTCATGGCTTTCAGTTTGTATTGTTAAGAGAGGCGAAAAAACCCATAATGACTTTGGCGGCTATATCTTGGGTGTCCTCAAGTCCATTAAACTCGCGCCTGCGCCAGATAAATCAGTCCTTGATCGCGTACTCCACATGGGGTCTAACAAGGTGTTTAGCATTTGTGGAATGACCAATAACTTTAAATTTCCGAAAGCCATCCGTAAGAATCCAAGTAGCTGACTGGCTCTTTTAAATGCCTTTTCGGTCTGTTTCGAGCAGCCACGATTATCCTGCATAATTTTTACATTATCTTTTTCCTGGGAAGCACCTTGCAATTACTGGTCCCCAAGTTGATATTCATGGCTAAGCTGATGGCGTATGCTCGTGACTTTACATTTCGTCAAATGGAGCTAGAGCCGGTTTTCGGATGACCACATATAGACCCTGTCGAGATCGCTCTGCAGGGGCTTGTGATCACCCACTGTCTTGGTGTCTTAGCAGATTTTGACATCATCTTCAAATAGCGAGAAGTTCGACTAAAGTACGCTAGCAGGCTTGTTAATGAGCACTAGGATTAACTGTGTCCTCAGTACCGATTCTTAAGTCATATCACGGTAGACTGAAATTGG